AGAACACCTTTGGACTGAGAGCCAGGCCTTCTCGACCAACATCAGTGTGTGACCTCACCAATGCGCTTTTGGAAGAATGGTCAAAAATTCCTAGAAACACTCTCCTCAACCTTGTGGACAGTCTTCCCAGAAGAGTTGAAGCTGTAATAGCTGCAAAAGGTGGACCGACATCATATTGAACTCTGGGTTAGGAATGGGATGGCACTTCAGTTCATAGTAGGAGTCTATATATTACCAATACTTTTGGTAATATAGTGTATATAGTGTACATATGAGCGCAGTGTAATGGCAACGTGCAGTAACTTCTGTTGCAGAAGCCGCTCAGAGTATTCCAATAAAACATGTTATACATTTTTTTAGAAAGACGACAAATGCGTTTTAAGATTGGGATGTGATAATTGTTTTATTATCTATTATATTATATTATATATTATGTAAACAAAGCACTAGTATAACTTCACTATATTCTCTACGTTTCTCATTCTCAACGCGGTGCACTTGTCGTCTTCCCCAAAATACATTATCTAAAAATGATTTAATCTCGTACATTTACGGAATTATTCTCATGAATTGATGATTTTCTCAACTCAGGACTTTGTACCCGATATTTTTATCCGCAATATGGCCGTACTTGTACCTCGTAATAATTAGCGAACGTTCAAACGTATTCGGAAAATGACTGTCGTTTTAAAAATGTTTATCCCTCTGTAGGAGTTAATTCTTACAATCCAACTAGATACCAAAAGAACAGACAGTGTTCTTACGAGTTCTTACGTGAAATGTTAATACGCCGACGCAGTAGGGGACGCTGTATGCTGTTGCACTGACCGGAACCGGCGAGGAGGAATTGACAGCATAAGGAGGAAGAAGAGCAGCTGCAGGTTTTTACTTTCTCCTCTGGGATAAAAACATTCATGCCTACACAATAACAAATTGTAACTGTTTGTCGACGTCGAGGAAAAATACGTTTACTTTTACATTAATGTGTCAAATTAACCAAAATTTTTCGATTTTCACCTTCGGTGATAGCCTGTTAGCAACAGACAGCTAAAACCGAATTAAAATTTATACATTAAAATGAAATTAAAACGGTTTAAAGCAGATTTAGAATTGAAACATTAAGATGTTATACCATCGTCAAATATTTTTTCCCCTGTAGCCTAGTTATATATATATATATTTTAAATTAGATTTTTCTAATTTGATGTTTATACAATCTTTGATTCATTCTAAAGACTGTTGAAGAATGCAGTGGACTAGTTTTGACCTGAGGCCTCTTAAGCAGTCATATGCAACCAAGGCTTATATATGAAGTACTAAATAAATTTCAGTACACATGTTCTTTACTTTTCTCCTGGGTCCATTATTATATGTAATTTATACAGATCTATTGTTTGATTTGTTTGTGTGGATTTAATGTTACAGATGGCTGGTAAAAATTAAAAGTATAAATATTAAATAAATAATAATAAAAAAGTCCTGTGTATTTTTCCTAATCACAAAAGCTTTAAAGCCTTAAAATCTTGTGGCTTTTTCCTGTTTGTTTTTGACACATTTGTTTCTTCTGTGCATTGTGTTACAGACTCAGATCTGAAGCTGTCACCGTTTTTTTTGTTGTTGTTCTAATGACGCTCTCATTCTCCATCAGGTATTTTCACACACTTATGGTTACTTGCAGTTTAGTGAATGTTAACACAACACATACATTGTTCAAGTTTATAGTTATAGCTAAACTGTAGCTCACATCTGTTCTTGCAGCCACAGGTTTAGCCACCATGGACCTGGATCAGTGTCTGGACGAGCTGTTCTGCTTTGCAGATACAGTGCTAACCGTCCATCAGGTTCTCCACCATCAGCAATACCTCCACCCCCTTTTTCTGCCCCTGCTGGTCACAATGAAAAAGGCAAAGCCTTAATGAAGGAGCGCCTCCTGGCTGCTGTTCGGGTACAAACTCTTGGCCCAATTAAAATCCATCACCAACAAGAAACACAAACCTAACTTTTCATAACTCTTTTCCGTAGTGTGCAGCCGTGCTTGGGCAGCGCTGGGCTCAGAGGTCAACCCAAACAGCCTCTGCCAGCATGAACTACTGGTGGGGGAAGTACGAAGAGTTTGTGGGGCTCAACGAAGTCCGCGAAGCTCAGGCCAAGGTGACAGAGGTGAGACTGTTAACAGAACTTTCAGTTTAATTGATGGTGTCCACACAACAGTGTAGTGTCAAACTAACTAGTCATGTAACTGAAACATATTTGTTTAGGCTGAAGCTGCATTCATGGTGGCCAGAGGTCTGGTCCGTGACTCACATGCCGCCCTAGAGGCCCTGCAGAGTCGTCTGAAGGAGGTCCGAGTCCGTCTGGACAGGGTTTCTAGAGAAGAGGCCCAGTACCTAGAACTGGCAACGATGGAGCACAAACTTCTGCAGGTTAGATTCAACCAAACAGGAAGAATTTAAATAACTGGCATGGGTTTAGAAGAAGATTTTTTTGATTTTTGAACATCACTTGCTTTGCAGTTGGATAAACAACAGTTAAACATAAAAACATAAATTAATTTAAAAAATGATGCGTTTGTAATTCACTACCAATCACTTGGCACAGCAACTTCTCATGAGCCTACTGTTGCTCAAACTCATCTATGTTCCCTGTGATCCTGTGGAGGCAAATATCTAGCCTCAGTCCTGCCTTCACCTTGTACTTCCACAGGATTGGGGCATCAAGGGTCAGCCCACCTGCAGTTTGTCTCTACAGAGCAGGTAGATTGACATTTTAGCACGAAAAAAATGTTGGTTTTTTTTTTTGTTTTTTATTTTAATTTATTATTAATTTAACTTCACAATAAAAACAGGGGCAGTAAAAATGACACCAAAGAGGTTAATAACGTGTTAAAACTTCTTAAATTTATGCTTATCTCCTGCACTCAGTAAAAACATTAAAAATGTTCTCTGTCAAACCACAGAGAGGGCACTCATTCACAACACTAGGATTAAAAACAGATGCTGGAGGGGCGGGGGGTTTGTACAGAGCTTTGTGTAGGTTTAATTTATGTTCATTGTGGAACTCTGCAGAGTCAGGTTCAGCTTCTCCGTTACCATGTTTAAGGAGAAGGGCTCTCTCTTTTTCCATCATCTTTTTCTACATGAGCTCTAGGCTCCTTTGTGTTGGACGGGTAGAATGTGTACCCAGGGCAGAGCCCAGAGCGTGGCTATTTGTGAGTGCTGGACCTGCTATGTCCACCAGTTGTTGCAGGCAGACATTTCTTTTGCTGCATAGTGCCCCCATTTGCCCAGGTACAGTGCTGCAGCACACGTCCAGGTGGCACCACAGCCATACACCAGTACGCACTCAAGCAGCCATTAATCACACTGCCATCAAGCACCACTCTCGAGCCATAAATCACACTGCCATCAAGCACCACTCTCAATGTCCATGTACAACATCTTGAGCTTGGCCACGAGCCCAGTACAAAACCCAAACTTTTCCATAAATTTCCAAAGATAGACGTGTTCAACGAGGTCCAATGTGAACAACCCAGTGTTTATTCCTAATGAACTGGAGACCTCCAAAACACATCTGAATGAGATAGATATTATCCACTACAGACTTGCCGGGCACACAGTAGGTCTGATCCCGGTGGAGTATCTGCTACATCCAACCTTTCAGCCTAGGCTTTGGACAATATGTTATGGTTGTGACTTCACCAGTTACCTGATAGATCTAGTGATGTGACATAAAAGCTTAATTTGAACCATGCCATGCCTCAGACTGACAAATTAGTTTTTTCTTTGTTTAAAATCATTCCAAAAATGACTTAAAGCATCTTTAAAACATTTATCGACAGGTAAAATCGAGATTCTGTTTTCACTGACGTGGGACCATATGTACTGTCTGAAGCCTGTTTGTATGCTTCTTCACACATCCACTAGGTCATGAGAGAAAACTAATGGCTCTCCATGGTGTCGTTCTAAAATTTTTTTCACAGTACAATTAAAATCCCCGTCCACAAATAAATGATCCTCTGGGTCACAGCTATTTATAATGTCATCCACTTGTGCTGTTGTTTGGAGCATAAATGTTAATAAAAAACACACTTAAATGTTCAAAATGAGCTCTGACAAAAGGACACATCCACAACATGTTTGACCTCCAGAAAGGTCGGCGTAAATCCCCCAGAAGAGGAAGCCCAATTCTCCACTTAGGGTGGAACCCTGGCTTAAAATCACTTCTCTCGATTCTCTGCTGCAGTCTGTCTCAGTCCCAACATCACTGTGTGTTCCTTGTAAAAACAGAACATCAATGTACTTGATTATTGCCATTTCAAATACTACTGCGCTCGTTCTTGTTTCTCTCACCATTGAAAGAATCTTGCTGTGCGAGGTGTCTTCAGGCAAGGAATGGAAACAGCCGGTAGATGGTCGATTAGTTTTAATAACAAAACTGTCAAACAAAACAGGTCGAAAAATAAATCAAAATAAAATGACTGGAGAAGTATTCAAAGGGTCCAAAAATGAATCAAAATAAAATGATTGGAGAAGTATTCAAGGAAATCTTGTACTTCTTGTACAACATTTGTTAATACGCAAATCCTCTCAAGAATAACTTCTAATCTATCATTAGTTGTTTATGCTTATATACCTGTGTCGGAGTGGTGTTTAAATCTTGGCGGCCAATCATCGGGGGTGGTGTTTAAATCTTGGCGGCCAATCATATTATTGTTCTTGTATCTTGGTTATGCCTGCAGTCGCCAGTGTGTGGCGCTGCTGTTCCATGATTCAGCAGTGTTGGAGGACATGTTTATGAACCTTTTGTTGCTGAGATCAAAAGGAATGGATGGATCCGGTTTCCCCATGAGAATGTGCAGAGGTGTTTCAGAGTTGTCCAGAAAGTTGGTGTGAAGAAAATTTGGGGGAAATTCTCTTTGAATGTGTGGAGCTATGTGACTGTGTGCTTGGGAAAGCCTTTTGGTGTCTTGGCAGCTTCCTGCTGCAGACCCAACCAAATGTGAAAACCACTGAAATCTAACACCATCGACGTTCAGAATTACTATTTTAAAAACACTAAGGGTGATGAAGGTATTAACAGCAAGACTAAAACCAATTAATGAAATACAACAAATACAAATTAAAAACAGCTAGTTGTTTCCTGACTTTAATTTTTTATTTTGTCTGAAAACCCCTGTGGTCTGTCAAGTCTGACTCAGCTCTGTGTTTTATTACATATTTTTGGCTGAGTTAAAAAAAAACTCTGCAAATCAGGGGAGTGCTGCTGTAGCTTAAACATTCTCATAGCTTTATTCTCCTGTATAGAGAACTCCAGTTCAGTGACAGGATACACCTGAACACCAGTCTGCTGTGTGTGTGACAGATTACTGTTGTCTGACAAAGCCTTCACTGTCGCTGCTGTAGCTCTCAGTCTCTCTACCAGACGTCCAGTCTTAGCACCAACCAGGAGCTGACCCCCACTCAACCTCCCAGGTCTCCATCTCCTCAGCCACTGGGCTCCCCTCACTTAGCTCACCTACTAATTTATCTGTCTTACCTGTTTCACCTATCGCCTCCTCTGTCTCCCTCTCCTCACCTACTTCACAATGTCTCACCCCTTCCCTCTCACCACTCAATTTTGTGGTCTCCCTGGTTAAAAAAAAAACTCTGTGTTTCTTTTTTCTGTTGTTTTTCTGCTACACCGTTCTCCTACTGTGGCTAAACACTGCACTACTGGAATGGGTTGGTCGGCAGAACCCCCCCCCGCAGGAGTGCCAGTCAAATGTCCCTCTTCACCTCAGCCTGGAGAAAACGCAGCTGGACTCCGTGCCAGTGTCTGAGATGCCTTAGCTCCTTAGAGTCTGGACGACAAACAAACGACAAATAAAAAACACTAAACTAACTGAAAGTCAACACTGAATTAATACAACTACAATAACAAACACACCACAATGGGGAAAAAAAGACAAAAATTTGAAAAAAAAAGTCCATTTGTTCAGCCCTTCCAGTCACACTCCCCAACCCAAAAAGATTTACAAACTTCTGTTTTCTATCCGCAGGAAGAACGTCGTCACAGATCAGACTATGAGAAAACAGAAATTTGTGAGAGAGAGAAGTTTGCATTGTTCTCAGCTGCTGTCAGAGCAAGTCATGAGAAGGAGAGAACCAGAGCAGAGCGTACTAAGAACTGGTCCGTCATCGGATCAGTGCTAGGTGCTTTAATTGGAGTCATGGGGTCCACTTACATCAATCATGTCCGTTTACAGGTGAGCAGGACAATGACACAAACAAGGAGCTTGAGAGAGTTGGAGAAGAAAAATATATAGGGAGAGAAACATATTGATGCAAGTCTTTTCTATTTTCAATGTAGGAACTTAAGAACCTTCTTCTTGAGGCCCAGAGAGGTCCACAGAGTTTGCAGGAGGCTCTGAGAGTCCAGGCTGGAATCCACCAATCTCAGCAGGAGCAACTCCAAAGTATAATTCACGGTCTGAAAAACACAGTGACTAATGCCATCACTGCCACAGGGGAGCATAGGTCCTCGAATGAAGGTCTAACCCTGATGTCATCCTTGGAAGATCTGCACATCTGCAACCAAAAGACCCAGTCCGCGGTGAACTCCCTCATGCCACAACTAAGGAAATTGGAGCAAGGGCTGGACAGACTGGAGAGGAGGCTGTTACCAGGAATACCAGGACTGGAGACCCCCCAGGAGCCACTACAGACTTTAGTAGAACACCAGAAGAGACACAGCTCCGTCTTCAGCTTCACTGCTGCTACTGCTATCACTGTGGCCACACTTTACCTGATGTTCAGAGCAGCTACCGGCTGAACAACCGTCATAGCTGTGAACATGTGTGCAGGGCACTTTGGATATTTCTGCTGTAATGACCTCCTGAATTCATGAACAAGCACCAAGTTTCTCACACCCAATGTTTTATTCACTTTTTTTCCCCGAAATTGATTCATTTTTATTCTACTGGTCTTTGAGATGGATAAAGTTAGAATCTGAATAAATGTTGATTGAAAACTGACCCGAAACTAACCTAGAAACCTCGGTAGAAGCATTTATTCTCATAGTTCAATGAAGTACAGCTTATTTAAGAAAGAAAAAAAATAACGCTAGCCTGATGTGTGAGAGACAGGTTGAAAACGTACTAAATAATGTCATTTGAATTTAATCAAATTAAAAGTATCTTTTAAAAAATGAGTAAACTTTGAGTAAAAGTTACTTAGTTAAATTTGAATTTAATCAAAGTAAAAGTATATTTTAAAAAATGAGTAAACTTTGAATAAAAGTTACTTCGTTATGTCTAGGATGATTCTCAGATTCTGTGGCTTCTTCAGTTCTGAAGAACTGAAATGGGGTGTATGTGCGTGCACATAAAGATGTGCTCAGGTACAATAAAACAGTGCTTGGAATGTTATCAAAATATTGGGGAAAGCAAGTGTACCGCGTGGTCTACTCAAGACAAAGGGGTTTGTTGGAGTTTCTCTATTCCCAAAACTTTGTAACAAACTAAGTCCCTTACATTCTCAAGTGATGACAAATGTACTCTTAATTTAATAAAGCTGTTAGGAAGTACAAAAAGAGGGCTAGAGGAAGGGATGCAATAACAATAACAATAAAATTCAACAAAGGCAAATTATAACATACAACTCTCTCAAACATTAACAACATTTTACCATGTATGGAACTTCCCGTTCCTGGGTTCAAAGTACATGTAACTTAACAGTAAACTAACGTGACCAAATTCCAGCCTTGCGTTAGTTGTTCGTCTGCTCGTATTTCATTGAATGGAAATTCAGCATTTCTTGGGTCCTCATGGAGGTTAGGGACGTCTGTACGGTTCCACTGCGTTCAGAGAGGCTTCTTTGTCCGAAAGTTTGAAAGTGATGTTCAGGTATTTATGGAGATTTGATGTCTATAGTAATGTACTACCACCCTGAACTAAGTGATAAGCATGTATTTATGGGGATTTGATGTCTACAGTAATGTGCTACTACCCTGAACTAAGTGATAAGCAGGCATTTATGGGGATTTGATGATAAATAAATAATCACAAAAGCTTTAAAGCCTTAAAATCTTGTGGCAATTTCCTGTTTGTTTTTGAAACGTTTTTTTCTTCTTTGCATTCTGTTACAGACACAGAACTGAAGTTGTCACAGTTTTTTTTGTTGTTCTAATGAAGCTGTCATTCTCCATCAGGTATTTTCACACACTTATGGTCACCTTATGGACACCTCCTCAAGGGAAGGTGAAAATTTTGAGAGGTTCAAAACCATCATAGAAAAGGCCAACATGGACTCCAGAAACTAGATAGATAGATAGATAGACAGACAGACAGACAGATAGACAGACAGA